TTCACGTAGACAATGAAGAAATCAAGGAAAACTCGCCAAATCCACGCTTAATTCTCAGTTCTCATCCAACTTGACCCATCAGCAGCATTTGACAAGGCCATGACTCCCCTTTTTTTTTGGAAACACCTTGTCTTCTTGTTTGGCTGTTGGAACACACGTGTTCCACACATCGTGGAAATCTGTGAATGGAGAAACCACTGGAGCGTTCCTTTCTCATCCCACTGACCTTCCCTTTCAGCCTCCTCTCCTGCTGCTTTCCCATCTCCCAAGCTCCAACATGTTGGCATCCTCCAGGGAGCAGCCCCGGTACCCCTCTCTTTCCCTACCCACACTTAACTCCTTTGGTGATTTCACCCAGACTTATGGCTTTAAACACCATCTGTATATCAATCACCCTCAAATTTATGTCTTGAGCCTGGACCTCTCCCCTAAACTCCAGACTAGTATCTGTTGCAGTCTCTGATGCCTATTTAATAAGCATGTCCAAAACTGAGCTCCCATTCTGCCCTCCAAAACCTGCTCCTCCCTCAGTCTTTTCCATCTCAAATGAGAGCAATTCTCCATCCTTCTTATGGCTCAGGTCAAAATCAGCGTCATCCTTGTTTTCTTTCCTCTCATGTACCCATCAAATCCATCAGCAAATCTTATTATCTGTATCTTCAAAATGTATCTAGAAACGGACCACTTCTCAGAACTCCCACTGCTTCCATACGGGTCCAAAACACCATCATCACCCACCCGGATGCCTGCAACAGCCTCCTGTCTTTCTACTTGGCCCTTCTGTCGAGTCTGTTTTCAAGACAGCAGCCAAAGTGATCCTGTCAAACATGGTCAGACCACGCCATTCTCCTCTCCTCAAAACCCTCATGACTTCCCATCTCATTCACAGTAAGGGCCAAGTCCTTAAAATGGCCCACAAGCCTCTCCTAATTTGTCCCTCATTCTTCATCCTCATTATCTCTCTGACCTCATCTCCTGCTCCCCTTTCCCTCACTCACTTTACCCCAGACACATCAGCCTCTTTGATGTCCCTACAACATGCCAGGCATGCTTCTGCCTCAGGGCCTTTGCACTGAAATGTCCAGCCCCCAGATGTCTGCATGCTTTGCTCCCTGACCTTCGTCAAGACTTTGCTCAAATGTCCCCATTTGGTGAACTCTTTCATAGCCACCCTATTTAGAATTTCAACCTGCCCCTTTCCTGGTATTCTATTTTCCTTTCCCCTGCTCATTTTTCTCCATAGCACATGATAGCATCTAAGGTACTAATAGTTTATTTGTTTATATTTTTTTATTGTCTGTCTCTCTCTACTAGAGAATTTTGGTCAGTTCCATTCACTGCTGTATCCTTGTCACCTAGAACAGAACCTGAAACATACTAGATGAATCCTTGATGAATAAAGGAATGACTGACTGAGGCCCAGAGAGGTTAAGCAACTTTCCCAGGGTCACACAGATTGTAAGAGCCTGGATATACCCGAGACTTCCTAAGATCAGAGTCCAAGGTCTTAACCACCACATGAGTGTCAATAAAGGAAGATGCCCCCAAACTGCACCCCAAGGCTAGGGTTTCTATTGTCTCCTTTGTTCTGATCTTCCAGAGGAGCTGCAAACTGCAGTGGGGCTGGAGTCTTTGCATCACTAGACTGTATTTGTTTCTTTCTGCTCAGTGGCAGGGATGCCCAGTGCCCGTGTGGATGGAAGGGGAAATCTTGGCTTACCTGACATTGCCATGGCAACCAGGTAACCTAAGGACTCCAGAAGCGAGTCCTTTCAGATTGAGATGGGGGAGAATCGAAGTGAGCTGGAAATAAACAGAAAGAAATCTGTGAATGGAGAAACCACTGGAGTCTTGCATCTGCAGCTCACTGTGTCATTGGCAGTGAGGAGAATCCACCCCATCCTCTTCCTCAGCCACCGGCTCAGCCACAGCCAAGGGCTGTGGATCAACTTGTCGTGCCTCCTGCCTCGAGCATGATCTCACTTAACCCCTCCAAGAGGCCCACGCTCTTCTGTTCAGCATCCCCAGGGAAGGAGAGCACACCCCCACCCCATGCTCTCAGCCTCCCCCTCATAACCCAGAGGACATTCCTGGGCCACAAGTCGGCAGGTCTGTGTTCTGACCTCTTATCCACTTCACAAGGGCAGGCTCCCCTCTCTCAGGGGCTCCGTTGACCTTTTACCTATGGCCTGGCTCCTTCCTTCCTTATTTGCCAGTAGAGAATAAAATAGAGCTATAGTAGGAAAAAAAACTATGAAATTAAAGTCCTCATGGAAATGTGAGTTAGAATTGTAACACACGCACAAGGGGATTTACTTGTGCCAGGCGCTGTCTCCAGCACTTCTGTGGGCGTGATATCACTCAGTCCTTACAGCCACCCTTGGAGGGGGCAAGAGTTGCCGGCAACAGAAAGATAAAGAAGGCTCAGAGAGGTTGAGGGACTTGCCCAAGTTTGCACAGCTGGTGAGCATGAAGAGGCATTCAAACCTAAGGAGTCCCATCTCTGAAAACCATGCTCTTCATTCCTCCCCCACACCGTGTCCGTTGGGGGCGGGGGGATTCAAGAAGACCCGAGTTTTCTTGCCTTAGCCATTCCCTGGGCCCCAGAGCCCCGAGCAGATCACTGAGAAGTGTCTGGTGCCTTTTGCATTTAATGAGCCCCTTTGATCTGTGGCATTTGCTGAGCTCTGCAGACAAGAGGGTAATAATAAAAAAATAATACAAATAAAAATAAATGAGATAAATAAAATAAAAATTACAAAAAGAAAAGATGGTAATAATTGCCCCAGCCCAAGGGCTGGAGCCTCAGGAGCTGGGCCGGGGGGGCTCATCCTCTGCCACACCCCAGTGCCCCTCCAGTCAGCGAACACTCCGTATTGTGCACCTGTGACATGCTGGGCTCTGTGGGACACACAGGAGCATCCGAGTCCTGGAAGACACAGAGAGCAAGTGCCAAACTCTGGGTGGCGGTGCAGGGAGAAGAGACAGGCGCGTAGCTAGCAGGCGCGAGAGACTTGGCGGAGGGGCCCGGGGGTGGGGTGGAGGACACAGGCAGAGGTGTGGGAGGGACAGCGGGGACAGAGTGCCCAGGAGGGATGGATAGAGTGGGGTGCTGAGAAGTTTGGCGTCTGGTGTCAGAAAGACCAGGCTTCTCATTCTGGCCACGCCACTGGCTGGCTGAGTGACTTGGAGTTGGTCACTGAACCTCCCTCTTCCTATACTCAGAGATGTTTACCACTTCCCCTTCCCTGCCCCGACACTTCAGCTTTTCACAGAGTTGACTGCAAAGCTCATCTTCATGAAGTCTAACCTGATCTGTCGGGCCATTGGCTCATTTCCACTTCTCTTGCTCCTGAAGATGCGTAGACCTAACCAGCCAAAGACGGGAAAGCGTCCACATTAAGGCCTCCTAGAAGCCTTAAACATACAGAAGATGATGGCCCTTCTCCCAAATGTACATAAAAATATACCAGATTATAAAATACAAAACTTATGTAAATGCCAAGGTTAAAATAACATCTTTCCAGATTTACTGTTTTTTTGCAAAAATCCTGGATTGCTTCCTTCATCAGAGTTAAACTTTTCCAACAGTTTTGGTGTCCTTGCTTTCTAATCTTTGTAGCACCCAAAGAGAGTTCCTATTCTGCCTTTTGGGTTGTCCGGTTCTGGAGGGAGAGCGTGGGGGACGAGGAGCCGCCAGAGACACAGTGCACGTTTGGCCCCTGGGCCCCATAGCCAGGCACTGGGACCAGGCTGGGTCATGCTCTCCCCTTCCCCACATCAGTGTGTGGCGGTCCAGGGCCCCCTGTGAGCTCTGGTGGTGTGGTCGCACATCCAGAGTCACGCCGGAGAGCTCAGGTCTTGTTATCAATTGTGCCCAGCCAACAGCCCTTGCTGCCCTGTCCCCTAGCTGCTGCTTGGAAGCAAGGAGTGCAGCCCTTCTCTGTCACTTGGCAGCGATGCCAGGGACTGGAAGTAATGTCTCTTACTTCATTGGCAATTTGACATGGCTGCTTAACAACCCGATTAATCAAACCCAGCTCATCCTGTTAGAATTAATGAGCCTAGGAAAGGCTACCATGAATAATGAGGGCTTTGCCCCTCCCCCAGTACCTCTCCCCACTCACCCCCTCCTATTTCTTTCCCCAAGCTACACAGCAACTACTCACTACCAAGGGACCTTTAGACCTGGAAGGCTGTGGCGGGTGCTCAGCAATGTGGGCATCTCCTGCCTCTTCTACTCTCCCAGGTGCCACGGTTGTCCACCTGGTGACAGAGCTGGCCATGTCCTAGGGGAGCAGAACTTCTTATTCATCAAACAGATAAGAATGCATTTTGCCATCAACAATGCAAGGAGGATCTGTTTCAAGCACGGCACTAGGTGCCAAGGATGCAAAGATGTATAAGCTATTGTCCCTGTAAGGGGTCACGGTGCAGTAACCCAGAGACAAATGGGGGAAGTGCTACAACGGTGGGTACAGGAAGGGCAGGAGCTACAGTGAAGGGAGCCTGTCAATACTGGAAGAGCAGAGATGGGAACTGGGAAGGGTTATATGGGGATGAGGTGCTCTGAACGTTTCTGCTACCAAGTTCATTCATGGCACATATATACGTTGAGTGCTGGGCACTGAGCAAGGTGCTGGGGTCTGGACATCCACAAATGGATATGATTCCCATTCTCATGGAGCAGGCATCTCATCCCTGTTCCCAGGACAGTGCAGGTAGAGGGCTTCCATAAAAATCGACCCGCTCATTTCGTAGGCACCCTAGAACTTGGGCAGCACCCAATGGGAGCCGAGGCTCTGAAATGTTAGTTGAGTTCTCTGAAGCTGCCTGGCTCCCTTGTGCCCTGTGGATTCTGATGCTTCCCAACAAAGACAGGGACTGGTTTAAGTGGTGTGGTCTGTCTTATCCAGGTGGCCCAAACCATCACTCCAGTAGCCACCCACCCGCCAGACTCCAGACCCAGAACTTACCACCCTCTGCCTCTCTCCCTGCAGGGGGAGCTGCTGAGCCCGTGCCGCTGTGATGGCTCTGTCAAGTGTACGCACCAGCCCTGCCTCATCAAGTGGATCAGCGAGCGGGGCTGCTGGAGCTGCGAGCTGTGCTACTACAAGTACCACGTCATCGCCATAAGCACAAAAAATCCTCTGCAGGTACGACCAGGGCGGGAGAATGTTTTCCCCTTAGAGTCCAGGACAGTCTGGAGAAAAGTAACAAGATGAGCTAGGTGGGCACGATAACAGTGACATGCAGGCAGACAGGATGAGAGCGCTTGTGTTTTCTCCTCAGCCTTAGCAAGAAGAGAAAGGGATGGGGTAAGGACAGAGGAAAGATCTAGAAGGAAAGACGTGTCAAGAATTAAATGGTAGACAGGATCAGTGAGCTAAGGAATGGATGGATGGATGGGTGGATGGATGGATGTAAGGATGGATGGATGGATGGATGTAAGTGTTGGTGGATGGGTGGATGGATGGATGTAAGGATGGATGGATGGATGTAAGTGTTGGTGGATGGATGGATGGGTGGATGGATGGATGGATGTAGGATGGATGGGTGGATGGATGGATGTAAGCGTGGGTGGGTAGATGGATGGGTGGATGGATGGATGGGTGGATGTTAGGGTAGGTGGATGGATGGATGGGTGGATGGGTGGATGGATGGATGGATGGATGGGTGGGTGG